TGTTCTGCGCTGTGGTTCCTGCGTGTGTTCTGTGTTCTGCGCTGTGGTTCCTGCGTGTGTTCTGTGTTCTGCGCTGTGGTTCCTGCGTGTGTTTCTGAGCGGTTCTCTTCTCTGTCAGGGGGAGGAGCCTGATGAAGATGATGCGTATCAGGTTCTGTCAACACTCAAGAGAATCACAGCCTTCCACAAGTAAGAGAACAGGAAACACTCCGATAACTGATAATCAATAACCGATAACTGATAATCAATAACCGATAACTGATAATCAATAACCGATAACTGATAATCAATAACCGATAACTGATAACTGATAATCAATAACTGTTAACTGATAATCAATAACCGATAACTGATAACCGATAACTGATAACTGATGATCAATAACCGATAACTGATAACTGATAATCAATAACCGATAACTGATAACTGATAACTGATAATCAATAACCGATAACTGATAACCGATAACTGATAACCAATAACTGATAATCAATAACCGATAACTGATCATCAATAACTGTTAATCAATAACTGATAATCAGTAACTGATAATCAATAACCGATAACTGATCATCAATAACTGTTAATCAATAACTGATAATCAGTAACTGATAATCAATAACCGATAACTGATCATCAATAACTGATAATCAGTAACTGATAATCGTGTCTGTGTGTTTTACCTCATCCTGACTGTAATAATGTGCAGCCGGAGGTCCTGATCAGGTGACGCAGTGCGGCGTTGGTGCTCTTCGCGCTGACTGACTGGCTTTAATGAGCTTTTCCAGGATTTTTCCCTGGTTTGAGTCTGAAGTGCCGAACCGCTCAGACGGGATCAGTTCAGCAAGCGGAGCTGAGAAAATGCGCCAGCAGAGCAGAGCAGAACAGAGCAGAACAGAGCAGAGCAGAACAGAGCAGAGCAGAGCAGAGCAGAACAGAGCAGACCAGACCAGAGCAGAACAGAGCAGACCAGAGCAGAGCAGAGCAGAGCAGAGCAGACCAGAGCAGAACAGAGCAGAGCAGAGCAGAGCAGAACAGAGCAGAACAGAGCAGAGCAGACCAGACCAGACCAGACCAGAGCAGACCAGACCAGAGCAGAACAGAGCAGAGCAGACCAGACCAGAGCAGAGCAGAACAGACCAGACCAGAGCAGAGCAGAACAGAGCAGAGCAGAACAGAGCAGAGCAGAGCAGACCAGAACAGAACAGAGCAGAGCAGACCAGACCAGAGCAGAGCAGAGCAGACCAGACCAGAGCAGAACAGAGCAGAGCAGAGCAGACCAGAGCAGAGCAGAGCAGAGCAGACCAGACCAGAGCAGAACAGAGCAGAACAGAGCAGAGCAGACCAGACCAGAGCAGAGCAGAGCAGACCAGACCAGAGCAGAGCAGAGCAGACCAGACCAGAGCAGAGCAGAACAGAGCAGAGCAGAACAGAGCAGAGCAGACCAGACCAGAGCAGAGCAGAGCAGACCAGACCAGAGCAGAACAGAGCAGAGCAGACCAGACCAGAGCAGAGCAGAGCAGACCAGACCAGAGCAGAACAGAGCAGAGCAGAGCAGAACAGAGCAGAGCAGACCAGACCAGAGCAGAGCAGAGCAGACCAGAGCAGAGCAGAGCAGAGCAGAGCAGAACAGACCAGACCAGACCAGAGCAGAGCAGAGCAGAGCAGAACAGACCAGACCAGACCAGAGCAGAGCAGAGCAGAGCAGAGCAGACCAGACCAGACCAGACCAGAGCAGAGCAGAGCAGAGCAGAACAGACCAGAGCAGAGCAGAGCAGAGCAGAGCAGAACAGACCAGAGCAGAGCAGAGCAGACCAGACCAGACCAGACCAGAGCAGAGCAGACCAGACCAGACCAGACCAGAGCAGACCAGAGCAGAGCAGAGCAGAGCAGAACAGACCAGACCAGACCAGAGCAGAGCAGAGCAGAGCAGAGCAGAGCAGAACAGACCAGAGCAGAGCAGAGCAGAGCAGAGCAGAGCAGACCAGACCAGACCAGACCAGACCAGACCAGAGCAGAGCAGAGCAGAACAGACCAGAGCAGAACAGACCAGACCAGACCAGACCAGAGCAGACCAGAGCAGACCAGAGCAGAGCAGAGCAGAACAGACCAGAGCAGAGCAGAGCAGAACAGACCAGAGCAGAGCAGAGCAGAGCAGAACAGACCAGAGCAGAGCAGAGCAGACCAGAGCAGAGCAGAGCAGACCAGAGCAGAACAGAGCAGAGCAGAGCAGACCAGAGCAGAACAGAGCAGAAGAGAGCAGAGCAGAGCAGAGCAGAGCAGAGCAGAGCAGAGCAGACGTGACGTTTACCTGCGGAAATAATCCCGTCTGTCCGTGCGGATCTGAGTACAGATTAAAGGGCTCATATCCTGCGTTTGTGTCGACGCAGCCGATGAACAGTTTGCGTCTGCAGGTGTTTCAGTGCTGGTTCAGCTGCGCTGCTGATGCTGACGGCCTCGTTATTAATCCCTGTACTTAATTAGCGACTGTCTAACGATGAACGCTGGGATTCGGCTCGTCAGCACTGATGGAAGTTTAGTGTATAAAAGGGTTAAAACTGTGAAAACCCTCGTATTGTAATTCTGTAACGCTGATCTGATGATGCGTTTTAAATAATCAGATTAACGAGTTGCCAGGTTATCGGTTATAATTATCAGCTGTAATGAAAATAATAACGGTCAGTTATTATTAATGGTCAGTTTTCCACGTTTTCTGTGCGGATAATCTGGATTATGTGTGTTTGTGTCTGCAGTGCCCACGACCTCACCAAGTGGGATTTATTCACCAGCAACTACAGACTCCTGAACACCGGCCTGCAGAACGGGGACATGCCTGAGCAGGTGCTGACCTCTGACCTCTGACCTCTCCCGCCTCACCTGTCCTGTAGCGTGTTTGTGTTGTGTTTATATGTGTGTTTGTGTGGTTTCAGATCGTGATTCACGCCCTGCAGTGCACTCATTACGTCATCCTGTGGAACCTGGCGAAGGTCTCAGAGGGCAGCTCCCAGAAGGTGAGGAAAACACACACACAGACACTCACACAGACACACACACAGACACACACACACACAGACACACACACAGAGACACACACACACACACACAGACACACACACAGACACACACACAGACACACACACAGAGACACACACAGACACACACACAGAGACACACACAGACACACACACACACAGACACGCACACACACACACACCACACACACACAGACACACACACACACAGACACACACACACAGACACACACAGACACACACACACAGAGACACACACAGACACACACACAGACACACACACAGACACACACACACACACACACAGACACACACACACACACAGACACACACACAGACACACACACACACACAGACACACACACAGACACACACACACACACACACACACACACACACACACAGACACACACACACAGAGACACACAGACACACACACACACACACACACACACAGAGACACACACAGACACACACACACACACACAGAGACACACACACACACACACACACACACACAGACACACACACACAGAGACACACACAGACACACACACAGACACACACACACACACTCACACACACACAGACACACACACACAGAGACACACACAGACACACACACACAGAGACACACACAGACACACACACACACACACTCACACACACAGACACACACACACAGAGACACACACACAGACACACACACACAGAGACACACACAGACACACACACAGACACACACACACAGAGACACACACAGAGACACACACAGACACTCACACACAGAGACACACACACAGAGACACACACAGACACACACAGAGACACACACAGACACACACACACACACACAGACACACACACACAGAGACACACACAGACACACACACAGACACACACACAGACACACACACACACACAGACACACACACACAGACACTCACACACACACAGACACACACACACAGAGACACACACAGACATACACACACAGAGACACACACAGACACACACACACACACACTCACACACACACAGAGACACACACAGACACACACACAGACACACACACAGACACACACACACACACAGACACACACACACAGACACTCACACACACACAGACACACACACACAGAGACACACACAGACATACACACACAGAGACACACACAGACACACACACAGACACACACACACAGAGACACACACAGACATACACACACAGAGACACACACAGACATACACACACAGAGACACACACAGACACACACACAGACACACACACAGACACACACACACACACAGACACACACACACAGACACTCACACACACAGACACACACACACAGAGACACACACACAGACACACACACACAGAGACACACACAGACACACACACAGACACACACACACAGAGACACACACAGACACACACACACACACAGAGACACACACAGAGACACACACAGACACTCACACACAGAGACACACACACAGAGACACACACAGACACACACAGAGACACACACAGACACACACACACACACACACACACACAGACACACACACACAGAGACACACACAGACACACACACACACACACACACACAGAGACACACACACAGAGACACACACACAGAGACACTCACACACAGAGACACAAACAGAGACACACACACACACACACACAGACACACACAGAGACACACACACAGAGACACACAGACACACACACACACACACACACACAGAGACACACACACAGAGACACACAGACACACACACACACACACACAGACACACACACAGACACACACACACACACACAGACACACACAGAGACACACACACAGAGACACTCACACACAGAGACACAAACAGAGACACACACACACACACACACAGACACACACAGAGACACACACACAGAGACACACAGACACACACACACACACACAGACACACACACAGACACACACACACACACACAGACACACACAGAGACACACACACAGAGACACTCACACACAGAGACACACACACACACACACACACACACACACACAGAGACACACACAGAGACACACACACACACACACACACACAGACACACACAGAGACACACACAGAGACACACACACAGACACACACAGAGACACACACAGAGACACTCACACACAGAGACACACACAGAGACACACACAGACACACACACACAGACACACACAGAGACACACACAGAGACACTCACACACAGACACACACACACACACACGCACACAGAGACACACACAGAGACACTCACACACAGAGACACACACACACAGACACACACACACACTCACACACAGAGACACACACACAGAGACACACACAGACACACACAGAGACACACACACAGAGACACTCACACACAGAGACACACACACACACAGACACACACACACACACAGACACACACACACACAGACACACACACACACAGAGACACACACACACACACACACACACACACACACAGAGACACACACAGAGACACACACACAGACACAGACACAGACAGAGACACACACACAGAGACACTCACACACAGAGACACACACACACAGACACACACACACACACAGAGACACACACAGACACACACAGAGACACACACACAGAGACACACACACACAGACACACACACACACACAGACACACACACACACAGACACACACACACAGAGACACACACACACACACACACACACACACACACACAGAGACACACACAGAGACACACACACAGAGACACACACAGACACACACACACACAGACACACACACACAGAGACACACACACACACACACACACACAGAGACACACACACACAGAGACACACACACACAGACACACACACACACAGACACACACACACAGAGACACACACACACACACACACACACACACACACAGAGACACACACACACAGAGACACACACACACACACACACACACACACACAGAGACACACACACACAGAGACACACACACACAGACACACACACACACACAGAGACACACACAGACACACACAGAGACACACACACACAGACACACACACACACACAGACACACACACACACAGACACACACACACAGAGACACACACACACACACACACACACACACACACAGAGACACACACACACACACAGACACACACACAGACACTCTCTCTCTCAGGCGTTACGACACACTGCTGTCTGTAAATCGCCCCAGCCGAACTTCAGTCCGCGTTTATAAAGTGTTTATTTGTGTAGTTCAGGATCGTTTGCTGCTGTCATGAAAGCCCAGATGTTGCAACCCGAATGTGAAGAAGAGCCGTTTTGTCTTTTAAACTAATATCAATCCACCTTGAGAACCTCAGCGTTTACCAGACTTACTCTGCTCTGCTTTCAGCTTTAGCCCAGCTGTACCTGCTTCTCTCGCATCTCCAGCAGGAAACTTCTCCACAAAAGTAGAACAGTTTCCCGTTCCACCTTAAATGATGCCTGAGGCGCCAGGATGTATCAGCTGCACCATTTAAGGTGGAACGGGAAAATTCAAACAAGAAGCTGGCGAAGGAGAAGCGACTTCAGCCTCGAGACTTTTTAGTGTTTCAGTTTCTCACTGCAGATTAAACGTATCAGGAAACCAGCTGGAGTGATTATAAACGCAAATGAGTCCATTCGTCTCCAAATCATCGATGATCGTCTTAAATCTCTCTCTTTGCTGTTTCGTTAGCTACTATCTAGGCAGGTTTGCGTTGCTATGGTGACCAGCAGTCTGCGCTGATCTTCAGGGTTAAAGGGTGAATCAGCAGTTCTACATTAACTCCAGAGTTTAAGACCATTTATTGTTAAACTGTGTTGAACGATCAGCAGAGCTTTATTTTACTGTAAAGGAGGATGTACACATTTTCTCACACACTACACATTACAGAATAGTACAGTAAAAACAACGGAGAGACAACAAACGCGCGAACGGAAACACGAACGGAAACACGAACGGAAACACACGAACGGAAACACGCGAACAGAAACACGAACAGAAACACGAACAGAAACACGAACAGAAACACGAACAGAAACACGCGAACAGAAACACGAACAGAAACACGCGAACAGAAACACGAACAGAAACACGCGAACAGAAACACGAACAGAAACACGAACAGAAACAAACGAACAGAAACACGAACAGAAACAAACGAACAGAAACACGAACAGAAACACACGAACAGAAACACACGAACAGAAACACGAACAGAAACACGAACAGAAACACACGAACAGAAACACGAACAGAAACACGCGAACAGAAACACGCGAACAGAAACAAACGAACAGAAACAAACGAACAGAAACGCGAACAGAAACAAGCGAACAGAAACAAGCGAACAGAAACACGCGAACAGAAACACGAACAGAAACAAAC